AATCATGCAAATGACATTGATATACGAAAATTTTAATATAATAAGCATGTAATAAAAATAGATTAACAAAAAACAATAAATTTAAAAAATTATGTACTGCTCTCATGTAAATGTAAACCCCTTATGTTTAATAATTTTAACTTTTATTGTTTTGAAATTATTTATTGCTCTCATGTAAATGTAAACCCCGTTTCTTTATCCATATTGGTCTTTCTTATATTTAACAAATATAATAAATTCTTACTAATTTAAATACAAAGCCTTTTACACATACAAATTTTGTTAACCTTGTATCTTGTAATGTAGGGCCTCCAAAGTCAATTTTAAAACTGACAATAAACCCTTCCCCTAAATTCCTATCAACTATCATATCCACACAACAAACCAAAAACAATATTGTGAAAATGTTCAATTTTGACATTGCGGTTTTAAACAAATACATTTCTTTCAAGAATAAACAACATAATTACTTTTATAATAAAAACTAAATAAGTTTTAAGAGTATTAATTATGAACCTTCACAGTCAAAATCAAATTTCCTAAAGCGATCTAAAAAATGCTATAATTTTCATACAAATGCTATAATCATCATATTAAGATGAAAGTAAATGTTATAACTGACACCAACTTGAAAGTTGAATGATATAATTGAAAAATATTGAAAGTCAAATGTTATAGTCGACATTACCATCACAGTTGAATGTGATAATTGGAAAAATGAAAGTAAAGTGATATACATTAAAATAAATATTTGAATTCTTCAATAGAAAAATAAAATTAAAATTTTGTAATTGACATTAGAATGAAAATAGTTTGTCGAAATTGAAGGATAAAATGTCAAAATCGAAATCGAAGGATAATAGGTTTATCCCTCATTAAACACGACCTTTTTTTTAATTACCTTGTCCATTCCAATCCTTCATAATTCCATTCCGTCCAATCAAAGATTAACAAAAATTTCAATATGAAACCTCAAAGTGTAATCATTAATTATAGATTTGAAAATAAAGATTTATTTGTAAAATTAGATGTTTTGTCGGTAACGGGGAAGTGAATAATTTATTTTCGGTGAATGGATTATTTTATCGATTAGCTTCTTTTCGCAGACTATGAATAGTTTGCATTCGCTTATAAAGAAGATATAGGTAAAGTAAGATGCTAATTTGAGAAACAAACAAAAGTAGATTGCTATATTTTGCATTTACTCCTCTATTGGGATAAATGGAGTAAATAGGATCCAACTAAAATTAGGAATTAGTAGATAGTATAGTGGTAAATGTCAAATCGAGAAATAAGAAACCATTGTGGTTGGTGGTCATAAGGAAATTTCAATAAAAAATACATGGATTTCATTAATAAAATACATTCGTTAAACTGTAAAATGTTAAAAATATGGTGAAATTTATGTATACTACTATAACTAACAATATTTACATGTAGAGAAAACCCAAAAGTATTTAACTTTTATTATTAAATCTTTTTCCATCGCAAAAGCATTTTCAAAATGATACACCTGACTCATACAAAATTCATGTTAAATAACACTTCAGATTCCCATAAACAACTACCACAAACACCTTAACTTTTTAAAAAATCTGGACTTCATTGCAATGTCCTCTTCTCCGATAAAACCAAACATATGAAGGTTTCTATCTACTTACCTATCCACTATATATTCTGTATCAGGACCAAAATTTTACAAATTTAATCTCACCTGCATTTTTAACTTTATAGTAAAAAATATATCAAAATAATATTAAAATAGAAAAAGAAATGAAATATGTTGTATAAAAAATGAACCATAAGGGAATGTTTTAATACAATTCCATTTTGACTTCACGTACACAATTTCATAAACCATGTTCCAAGTATCATTATTAATGACCAAAATACCCTTCAAGTGTATTATGAGATAAAATCCAAGAAGTACCTTATGATCAATTTTCAATACATATAAAACGCAGGTAGGAGCAATATGGCCAATTTTATAATATAATTGTTATTATGTATAAAAACTGCTAATCTAGTTTAAAATTAACAATACAATCGCTTATATAGAGATTTTAACATTGTTATGGCTGCAAAAGAAGGATCACAAACAAATTTAAACAAATGGTAACTCAAAATTCATTCCATAATGAAAAAATCCTACAAGAAATGTTAAATCAAACTCCATTTTCAATTTTGCATCAGTTTGGGAAAAAATATAGAATAGAAAAGTTGCAATCACTAAACATTGGTACAATTGCAAAAGATGAATCAATGATGCACAACACTTTATCAACTCCTTACCATAAGGGCTGTAAAGCACATAAAACTCCATCAACAAATCCAAATTTACAATGATCGAGACTCTTAAAGTAGCTAATCATAATCACACTTTACAAAAGACATATACAAAGTTACACACAAATATACATAAAACCATATCTGCCAATTGATTACACATAGAACACAACGATTTCAAAAGAAAAATAAAAAAGCCTCGTATCTCATGGCGACTGCTTCCAAAAACAACATCTAAAAGCCACCTAATTCTAATTAATTTGACCCAAATAAAGAATCACAAACTTGCAGATATACCCACAAATCCATAAAACATATAGTCTAATATGAATTAAGAAACTTAATAAGAAGAATTCGCAAACCATAAATTCTCAAAGTGAATCCATCATCGTTAACACCCGTACCTGGTTAAACCGATTGATGAGACCAGAATCACACGAAGAAAATATAACCGAACCACCGCCAACCTCCTACAATAGAGGAACCTGGAGAAGAAATCAGAATTTGAGAATGAGGGAGATAGGGTTGCAATAAAGTAGCGAGAACGAAGGAAAAAATGTGACCATGCAAATTGTTTGTTTTAACGACAATTCAAGGTAATCTGGACCAAAATTCTTCAGATTACTTAGACCTGCAACAATAAATTAAATCAAATTATGAGCAAAAGAACACAGACAAGAACTCCCTATCCAGGTGTGTGAGAGAGATAGAGAGAGAGAGAGAGAGAGAGAGAGAGAAAGGAAGAAGATATGTATGTGATTTCTTTCGATTTCGTCCCTGATTTTACAGGATCATGGTTTTGAAAAATTAAGAAGATATATTGGGATTAAGTTTCATCAGCAGAGAAAATTTAAGCGTAAATAAAGGAGTTAATAGGTTAAACCGAGAATTAAATTGGGTATCTTCTTTATGCCGATGATAGTTAGTCAATCAATTTGTTGCAAATTCAATGGGATTGATTATGAACATTGTTGACTAATTTGAAGTTTAGAAGGGTAGTTTAGTAATTGCAGTCGAAGGGAAATGAGCGGGAAAATAAGTTCCGGAGGGATTGAACAAATGCCACGTGGCGAAAATGCTTTTATTTATTAGATTAGGATATATATATATATATATATATATATATATATATATATATATATATATATATATATATATATATATCTTTACTATCTTATAAAAGAAATCTAACTATTTCTAAAAATAGATTGATTATAATAATAATATTTTTTTAAGACGTCCAAATAATGAAGCTGATAGTACAAGTAAACATTAATAAAATAATATTAAATCTTAACCACATTTTGAATTCAAATATTTATCATTAAATCTCCTTATATTTCTCAGCAATTTGATATTGTTCCCTCAAATCCCGGATTCATTCAAATTTTGAACCCTTTTAGATATCCTTAAATTTAGCATGTTGATTCAAATATCCCTCCAATCGTATATACCTCTTTGTTCCCTCATCTGCTATAAAGCCCACCGTCTAGGAACAAAAAATGACTTCATTTCTCAAATAACACCATAGTTTGATTATTTTGTTTTCGACATGTACTTTCTTTTGTAACATAACATTTTTGTAGAGGAAACATATCACCGAAAGAATTTACACACCCCGCCGCTTTGCGTGGGTACGCTGCTAGTGTATATATATATATATATATATATATATATATATATATATATATATATCTTTACTATCTTATAAAAGAAATCTAACTATTTCTAAAAATAGATTAATTATAATAATAATATTTTTTAAGAAGTCCAAATGATGAAGTTGATAGTACAAGTAACCATTAATAAAATAATATTAAATTTTAACAACATTTTGAATTCAAATATTTATCATCAAATCTCCTTATATTTCTCAACAATTTGATATGGTTCCCTTAAATCCCGGATTCATTCAAATTTTGAACCCTTTTAGATATCCTTAAATTTAGCATGTTGATTCAAATATCCTTCCAATCGCATATACCTCTTTGTTCCTTCCTCTACTATAAAGCCCACCGTCCAGGAACAAAAAATGACTTCATCTCCAAATAACACCATAGTTTGATTATTTTGTCTTCGACATGTACTTTCTTTTTTAAAATAACATTTTTGTAGAGGAAACATATCACCGAAAGAATTTACACGCCCGCCGCTTTGCGCGGGTACACTGCTAGTATATATATATATATATATATATATATATATATATATATATATATATATATATATATATATATATATATATATATATATATATATATATATATATATATATATATATAGGGAAAGAATCAAATGAGAACACCTAAAAATTGAGAACACGAGAACAATTCTGGACCAATCCATATATAAGGACTTATTAGTATTGTATATTTTAATTAAATTAAAATAAAATAAATTCAGTCAAATTCCCTTAAATTTAGGATCAGTTACCAAAAAAGAAATAAATATTCGATTTTTATTTTTTCTTATTAATGGAATATAAATCTATTTTTACGAAAAAAAATTAAAAACTAAAAAAAGAATTAATTTTTTTTCTTAAAAAAATAATTTTTTTTTCTGTTATTTTACATTTTTTCCTTCAATCGTAAGTGAATAAAAAACTAAACCATCAATCATAAATGATTATATTGTAACCTGGACTTTGTATATTTATATTGACACAATTGTACTGAATGATTAAAATCACTTTGAGACATTATTCATATATGAATGCACATTTTCATTCATAAATATAAGATATTATAGTTTTTTAATGAATACAAATATCATCCTAATTGAATAAAATAGCATTATAAAAAATCAATACATTTGTAATCTTAAATGACTAGAACACAAATTAGAGATGAAACATCAACAAAACACATTTGCAATCATATATGAATACAATTGTAATCACAAATGAAAAACTACAATGTCTTAATATAAATAAATGTCAGCTCCTTTCAAGTTGTTGTCCATGTGCATTCATCATTCATCCTTATAATAATTAGCCCATCCGTATTAACTCGGTCAATCTACAAGAAATCAAAGAAATTTTTTGTATTATTTGTCCACAAAAAAGTGCTTAACTCATTAACCAATTTGTTTCTAAATTGCATTAATAAATCAAAATGTAATAAGAGAAGGGTTTTCCATCCTTCACCTTAAGTTCATTGTGCTTCCATTGACCATGAACACTGTCGTACTTGAACATGTATGTCTGCAAGTAAAACAAATGGATCGTTTATTATATATAAATCACATGATTGTAAAACAGATTGAATCCTATATAAATCCATACATCTACATTCGAACAAGGTAAAGAGATCTTATAGTACACTGTGATAAATGAATTTTTGATCCACTGATAGAATAATCATTTGTTTCATTCGAGTAACTTTTTGTCATAAAGGGAAAGAGATGATAGAGAATTGTGACAAATACGCCGAGACATACTGAGATCACGCACTCTATAAACCAGACAATTGATAGTGTGTTCATACAAACTAAATAGCGTTCTACTACATGATCCTAAGCATCACTTAGAATATTCCTGTTTGCAGCTTATTTAAGATCTATAATATTGAAGTGTTTATTAGATAAAACCAATCAGTAGCATTCGTTTATAGATCGAATTGTATTTAACACTAAAGTGGCAAACCAAAACAAGAAGTGTACCATGTAATCAGTGGAGATGAAAGGATCGTTAACAGCAACAAGCTCAACATCATCTCTCTGAAGAGCAACTCTAGCAACTAGACGACCGATTCTTCCAAATCTTGTATAATATCAGTCGGATCCAGTGAATTGATAAGAAAAAAACCAAAAGGATCTCAAAAAATAGATCAAACTACAATAAATAAACAAAAAATGTACCGTTGATTCTGATCCTAATCATAGATTGATTATTTGACTGTTTTACCTCGATAGCCCTACCTCGATCGCAAGTGGGCTTTTCAAACTGTGATTGGTCGCTTGCAGCAGCAGTCGCACAAAGAGACTGCAGGAATCAAGGTGATTGACAATTTTGAACAATAGATGCCCTGAAAATCGATTCTAATGCAAACAAAGATCATGGGGTTTATCGTTTTGATAGGAATAAGATGCAAACCTGATTTCCCTTTGTATGTATTGTTGATTTCGGATTTGCAAAGGCTTTTATTTTGTTATTTGAACATTGATTGATTTCTCATCTTGAATCGAAGATGATGATGGAGGTTGGTGGTTAAACTCGATGCAAGCGATGGTGGTGGATCAATGATAGGGCTGTGTAAAATGGTGGCGTAGGGATGGGATGATGATAATGGAAAGATTGTGCTCTGCTGAAGATGGAGACGGTGGAGGCATACCTAGGTTTACAAGTTTACAGAGAGATGAAGAGAGAGACGGGAAATGGAAGGAAATAGGTGAGTGATTGAGAAATTATAGGAATTAAACTAATGGTGGAAAATGCCAATTACTATAGTACCCTTCTCACCATTTGAAGTTACACTTTAATACCTGTAACTTTTAAAATTTTACATAAATTGCTTGTTGATAATAACCTTAGATTTTATTATCTAAATGGACCAGATGTGTTCTCGCGTTCTCAATCTTTTAGGTGTTCTCATTTGATCCTACTCATATATATATATATATTATATATATATATATATATATATATATATATATATATATAATAATTGCTCACTTATATAGTTATACAATACTAGCATTTGTGGAATTTCTGTAAACATAGTGGTTTGAAAAAAAAAAAAAAAAAAAAAAAAAAAAAAAAAAGGAAAAAGTCGTATGAATTTATCTTTTGATTTTTGTATGATATTTTTGAAAATTGAATTTACTTAGCCTTTGAAATATGAGCTTCATTGAGTGGCTTAAACTTTTAATGAGATTATCATTATCTCATATGGATGTTCGGTCCTAAATTGTAAATATCATAGCCTATTCAGCATTTTCGATCTCAAATATATATTATCAAGAGTATAAAAGATCTGTTTTATATTATATGGTTTCTTTGTTAGACACGACTAAAAAAATATATCTTGATAATTGACACAAGCGATAAATTCCAAGCCGTTGAATTAGCCTTTTGTATATTTGATGTTTATAATTAAACCGATGAACATGTACCATTCATAAATAATCTCTTTAAGTTTGTTACGAGTTTGTTTCTCATCAACTCAACTGAATGGACTGACATCAACATTAAACATAGAACACGATGCAATTTTCTCTTTCCTTACATTCGATTATAACTTCATATGTCACACACAAGCAATTTATAGTCGAAGTAAGAAAGAAATAACAATATTTCATTACCAAAAACTCTCATAACTTTATATATCATACAAAAAGCCAACCAAGCTTAGAAAAATGTTCACCAACATTTGTCTTGTCACTTTCCTCGTTAAACCAATCACACTTGCTACAAAAGAAAACACAAATCCTCGTCAGGATAACAAAGACATTCACGTCTTTTACACAACAACAGATTAAAAGCAATCTCATGTCCCACCTTTTTTTTGGATAGGACCAAAGATTGCAACTTTTGTCCCATTGGCATCAGTTCTAGTCCAATGGACATAAGACACAGACAAAACACAGTACAACCTGTTATGTTTATGTTTTATAGAGCTTACGTGATTAATGTAGACTTGGAGTAATCCAAATTGGAGGAGGCCATCGACGTCCATTGGACAACTTTTCATAACCCGGTAAACCTACCACACTACCATTTTCCAAGTCATAAATACCCAAATCATGATCCCCATTAGCACCATCATAATTCCACTCAGAATAATCATCTGTGAAATATATACAATTCCCATTACAACCATGGAAATCAGAAGCACGAAACGCCATGGAAGAATTCTCCCCCAAAAACAACGCACACCCATCCAATCCACTCAGACTCTCCCATTTTGGCCCATTTAAAATCAACTTAAACACTCGAAAGTCGGTAGTTTTATACACAATATCAACTTTATGTTGATCCATGTTAAATTCAACCTCCATATATCGAGTCACCAACAATAATTCATCTTTCCATATCACCAAATATTGCATATCACCTCCAACTTGTCTTGGGGTTTCGATAAAGGAAACATTTGGTGATGATCCAGTAATGTCGCATATAGCAACTGTTCCATGTTTACTCACAGCGTAGAAACACTCTTTGTGAAAAACAACGTCCTCACAGAAAGAATTTGCATCGTCTATGAATTTCCAACAGTTGTCGCCTTTCTTGCAAAATGCAAGATCACCGGTTTGATTTAGAATTGCCACCGCATAGTAATCGGTGTTTTCATTTGAAGGGCTTGAAGAAAAGATCACCTTTTTGATGAAAGAATCACGCATTTCTTTTGAATTACATGTATATACTTCCCCTTCTGATGTTTTGAGAGTGTATTCTTTCCCAATTTCAGATGGCTCGAAGGATGTTACGTTTGGAAACGATGATAATGGTGGGAGGTGGTGTCTGGCCTGGGTTAATGGGTTTACGATTGAAATTGAAGGGGTTTCTTCCAGAATCACAAGCCATCCATATGAAGATCCACATCGACGATTGCTATCAGAATCTTCAGGCAGATCAATAAGGTGAACTTTATCATCCGAGACGTTCAAAAAGCTTCGGGTATTTGATTGTGGATTCTGATTTGTTCTTCGAGGGAGCATTAACCAGGGCAGTTGACATGGTAAATGTTTAGGGATTCTTGGTGTCGCGCTTCGCCAAGCTAAACAAACAGCTCTAAATCGAACATAATCCTGATGAATCTTTAGCTCCTTCGCAATTGTTTCAAGCAATTCCGGAGGTTGATCCGACCAATCCACCGAAATCGACATTTTTTTTTCCCGTTAAACCCTGCTTTTTTTTTTCCACGAATTGGGCGGAACTCAAATTCTAAACCCAAATCAAAATCAGATTTTGACCAACTATACGAATTCGAAAAATAAAAAAGGAAGAATCGGAACTAGTTTATGGGATTCCAATGCAGATTGTGCGTACCTGATAAGATCCCGCAAAGAAGGAAGAAGAACGAAGAGTCTGAACAAGAATCAGGGGGGTGAACCTACGAAAAGGCGCCCCACTGATCCGATCTTGTTTCTTGTCTCTTGTAATCTTCCCTGAGGAATGAAGGGGAAGTTGTTGTGCACTTATTAGATGAGGGAGGAGGAGGATCGCCATTTTAGGCCAAAATATACCTCCATCCATACATTCGGAATCCTCCCATTAATAGCATGGCAGATTATTAAATTTATACGAATTATATTTGGAATCAATTGTTTATATTATTCAGAAACATATTGTCAGAAATCAATATTTAAAAAGTTTATAATCTTTGGTATCGAATCCAATTATCCGATTAATCTTTATATTATACTTTAGCTCGAATATTCATGTCTCATTTCCTACATAGACTGTGTTGATTATAAATGCATTGCTTTCGTGTTTCCAATGATAAGATTTAGGTTGATTACTTGGTTGCATGAAACTTTTGCCAAGGCCCAGCCCATCGACAATCTATCGGCTTATTTAAGGATAAGAGATGCGCAACTGGCAGTGGGCTTATCCATTGTCTAAATATAAGGTTGTATATTTTTGGTTGGACACGCACATACGACGTTACAGCAAAAACATTTTCTTATTTTGAGGGTTTATGTGTTATTAAAAAAAACAAATACATCAAAATTTATCATATATATATATATATATATATATATATATATATATATATATATATATAACCATTATTAACAATAACCGATGAATCGATCAGTATAAGGTTGTACCGATGGCAGTGTCACTCCATGTTACAAGATGGTAGCGTCCCTGAGGATCCATATGCTTTTGTTTTTGCTGGCATCCGTAAAAAACATTGTGTAGTGAAGTTCAATGACATATGCAAATATTGTGGAGCAAAACAATTGTTGTTTCAATCTCCTAGCTTTTGTTGCAGGAATGGGAAGACAAGGTTGGCAGACTCCTGTATTCCTAAGGAATTACACGATCTTTTCACCACAGAAACCAAATTAGGCAAATTGCCTAGAAAAAAGATATATGCGTACAACACCAACTTTTCATTTGCATCCATGGGTGTAGATGTGGATGAATCAATTGCTAACATAACATGTGGGGTATACACTTTTTGTGTGAATGGATGAATATATCATAGAATCAATCAGTTAGTTCCAAGGAAGAAGGATGAACCTAAGTATTTACATGTAACACTGTAGATTTTCAAATAAAATTTTTGTTTAAAATCACATTAATCTTATTAGCACAATCACAAAAATCCTCAGTTTATATCAAGTTATCAAAAACACATGTTCAAAAGTTGTTTATAACACAATCCAGGACCCTCCAAAACAAATCTCCAACCCGTGTGTGTACAATCAAGTCGATGTTTTCCCGTGATCATGAGAAGGACCTAAAACACATAACACACAACACGGTAAGCACGAAGCTCACTGACTTGTCAATGCTACGGCTCCTCGTAGGCTTATGACACTCTCTCACTTACTCGTGAATGTTACGGCTCCTCGCAGGCTTGCGACACTATTTCGCTGACTCGTGAATGTTACGGCTCCCCGTAGGCTTACGACACTCTCTCGCTAACTCGTGAATGCTACGGCTCCCCGCAGGCTTACGACACTCTCTCATTGAGCCATGGATGTTACGACTCCTCGTAGTCTTACGAAACTCTCTCACTGACTCGTGAATGCTACGGCTCCCTGCAGTTTCATAATACTCTCTCACTAGTTGCGGGCTCATCCCACGGTTCTTTCCCGACTGTCCTAGGTCATTACTCCCACCCCGATCCATTCACTCTCTTATCACCCCATAATCTCATTTAACAAGTCATCGCTACACTGAGTTTGCTAACTCATACTCTGTGGTCTAACATAGATAGGTACACAAACCTTTCCAGATTATGCATCGTTACTCTTGACAAAATTCTCGTAGACAAGACATTTTCCTCAGTACAGTTACACCCTTGGACAATCCCGTCTGATGAAAATTAGCTAAAAGGCTCCCACTAGAACAATAGTCACTCGGTACTCCACTTCCCATCTCACAAACTCAAGTTTCAAAATAATCCAAAATTTAGGGCTTCATACTCGAATGCCTCATCACACCATCACAGAACCTCACGATGTCTTGCCTCAATCCCTGATCTTTCCACTCACAACATCATACTCGGATACCGCAATACACTCTCTCAAAATCTCACACTGTCTTGCCTCAACCACTGGTCTTCCCCCTCGCACAACTTGAAACCTTGAAATACTCCAACTCACAATTTGAAATATGGAGGAATCGTCAATGACTGAGAACATGTTGATGAAAATCCGAAACCCTACCCTTTATTGCTCAAAACCCATGCGAGAATACATATACCGACTCTAAAGTTGGTTGCTAAATCAAATGCTACCCTTCCTGGAGTGCATTTAACAACCCATACATCAAACTAGAAATTCTCAACAATCAAAACTCGACCCCAATGACCCAACTGTCTCGTACTCGAACATTGGCAAACCCCGACAACCCTTATCCATAATAGATCCCTGATCATGTAACACTCATAAAATTTACGCCAATTTAAAACATTTTATTCCATTCAAAAACCATTAAGTTATTACAACTTGTTTTCAAAATAGTTTAAACATCAGAGTATCCCCATAACTAAATCACAAAATCATGAAATATGAGGAGTAGTACGATCACGCCTTTGCCTTGCCACGATCTCCTGATGTACCTGAAACAATAAATTGTAACTGTAAGATTGAAAGCTTAGTGAGTTCCCCCAAAATACCCATACACACATAATCATACACATACAACAATGAACAACATACTATAGGTCCAATCAACCATTCGGTTGGAATACCCCTGGCCCTCAACCATTGGGTTGGAATGCCAACATACTATGAGTCCAATCATCTTACCAGGATGGAATACTCTCGGCCCACAACCATCGGGTTGGAATGCCCGGACACCTACACATACAACAACAACTACTATGGATCCAATCATCCCTCAGGATGGAATACCCCAGTCCCTCAACCATCGGGTTGGAATGCCAACCTACTATGAGTCCAATCATCCTACCAGGATAAAATACTTCTGGCCCACAACCATCAGGTTGGAATGCCCTACCTGCTATGAGTCCAATCATCCTACCGGGATGGAATACTCCTGGACCACAACCCTCGGGTTGGAATGCCCTACCTGCTATGAGTCCAATCATCCTACAAGGTTGGAATATACTCGTGGCCCACAACCATCAGGTTGGAATACCCACATACTTACAAACATATGCAACTATCAAATAATCACATAACAGTCTACAGAAACACATACTAGGGCCCTATCATCCTACGGGGATGGAATACCCTCTACTACTGCTCAAACATGCGCACATATAACAAGTAATCTCCTAACAATATACAAACAGTCAGACCAACTACAGACCACTAAGCATAGCCATCACCAATCTACCAAGATACTAATCTAACCAACAAAGCTAACACATAATCATCCTTTCTACCAGAATGTCAACTAACATATCACAGCAGTAACTATCTCAAATAAAAATCAAAGGGCCGGCCTTGGTGCCTTAGACCCTTGGGTATAATGAGGATAACTTACCTGCAACTGCCGAACCGAACCACGAAAGCACAATCCCGAAGCACTATCTCCAACTCCAACACCCATAGCCATCAATGATCCATTGACATAAATATCCAAATTACCATAATACCCTTGAAGGTCGAATTTGTCAAATTCAAAGTCCTGGCTAAAGTCAACCTTCCTGATTGACCCTACTCGCCGATTCAATCCACTGACTCGCCGAGTTCTTAAACTCAAAAAACTCTCATATCACGACTCGACTCGCCGAGTCACCCCATGACTCGTCGAGTTCAACAATCTCCGAGTCCTATCCTGTCCATCCCACTGAGTCACCACTCAACTCACTGCTCTGAGTCTTAACTAGAAGAGGTTGGGGGTTCTACGTTGTGACTCGCCGAGTCCAAGAACAGACTCGCCGAGTCCACGACAATCTTCATCAGACTCGCTGAGTTGTTCTTCCAACTCGTCGATTTCAAGCTCATCATCATATGACTCGTTGAGTCTCTTTAGCCCTTCATCCATACATACCTTTTTCCAGCCATGTAGGAGCTCCAAAATGTAGATCCATCCTTCTATGGCATGACTCTTACGTAAATTTGCCAACTTTACGTGAAAACAAGGAGCTATAGGCCCAAATCAACCTAGGGATAAGGTTTAAGACAAAGATGCTTCACAAACAAACCAAGGGCTGATACTTTATGAGTTTCTAGAACAAGACAAGTCTAGATCTGTAGTAGCAACCTCAGATCTAGACCCCTAACCTGAAATAGATCCTTAACATGCCAAAATGGCCCCAAATCTCATTCAATAATAGTTCTAGATGTAAAAGAGTCAAGGTAACAACTTGTTACCTCCAAAATGTGCCCAAGCTGAAGTAGATTCTGGATCTACACCAAACCCTTGATGCTAGCCTCTTGTTCTTCACGCTCTCTTCTCAATATTCCTCCTCCAAAGCTCAAATCTCTTTCACAATGGAAGCTCATACGATTTTAGGGTTCATTGACTCTCAAGGGAAATAAAGAGGCGGAGGGGAGGACATTAA